AGTAACACAGTCCACCGTTTGCTGAACGCAGAGCTTCCTGGATTTCTTTTAAATACTCAGTGCCTCTGGGGAAATTCTCCTGATAATTAACTTCATTAAAATCAGGTTTGCGCACAATGCTCCGAGACCATCCATTGCATGAAGTAACCTGGGCGTCTTTGACGAATTTTTTTCTTAGGGCTCTCAGAGCTGAAATTCGGTAGTTTTTTTCCTAGAAGACACTTAATAAAGACGTGTTGAATGAATGGGTCAGCATCCTCGTGGGCGCAGTGTTGTCTTGGTCTGATTGCAGCCAAGTCTCCACGAAGTCCAGTGGTTGGACTGGGATCCTTGCTGCCCCCCCACCCCCAGGACTCCGGAACCCCTGCAGTGTGTGCTCTGCGCATGTCTGTGGAATGTGGACTTGACCCCGCTCCTGGTGAAAATGCGATACTGGCCTCCCTGGAATCTTAGAGGAAGTCCAGCACCCTCACCTTGGGCCCAGCCTGTCTCCTGCCCCCTCCATTCCTGCGCCTTTTCTCTGTTCCTCAGGCAGTCAGAGCTCTTCTCTGCCCCAGGGCCTTTGCCCCTATGCCCAGAGCCCTCCTCCTCCCGTCCCCACACCACCCCCTCACTTCTCAGAGAGGCCTTTCCTGCTTCCTTCGTAGTGCAGCCACCGCCTGCTCATTCTGCATGTTCACCATTGCATGCCTGCAGTCTTCCTCCCTTTAAAGCACTTTCCACAGCCTGCAAAGACCCACGTCTCTGCTGTTGGCTTGTCTCCCCTGACGAGCATGTTCAGGGTGGGAGTGCGTCCATCTGGCGGTTCTCTTTGCTTTGTCCTGAGCACAGAGCGTGGTGTCTGCACACAGCAAGCGCTAGGTCACCATGGGCTGAGTCTCCCCTGTGCCCAGTGGAATATTATTCAGCCATAAAAAAGAAACAGGCTCAGTGAAAGAAGCCAGACTTAAAGGCCACCTAGTGTGTGGTTCCATTTATAGGCTGTGTTCTGAAGAGGCCAATCCTTACAGACAGCATGTAGGTGAGTGTAGCCAGGGGCTGGGGAGGAGGGGAGAGACTGTTCATGGATACAGACTTATTTTGGGGATGGTGGAATATTCTGGAATCAGACGCATTCTGTTGGCAGTTGTTCACCTTTGTGAATATACTAACGCACTGTGTACAGTGACACAGTGATCACCCACCATGGACCGGCGCCCCTGAGGAAACACAACATAAGCCAGATTTGGGGGACGTGGCGAGCAACATGTTAAAAGGGTGAATTTTCTGATCTATGAGTTATATTTTAAGAAAAACTATATAAATCTGTGGATTGAACAAGTGAGCAGGGAGGGGTGGGGCCTGGAGCTGCCAGCCCTTCAAGTGTGAAGAGCCTGGTCCTGGGCCCATCCCTCTCGGAGGATGAGAACAGGAAACCGGCGCCCTGTGCGTAGATTTCTGCCTTTCAGTTTCCGTAACATGCGTCTGCCTGAACAAGTTTCATTCAGTGAGAGCCGAAGGTGAAAGCAGCTTCCCAGTCAGACACACCGGGGCCCTCACTGCGCACGGCGGGGTCGGACCCGGGAGGCAGGAGAACCTGCCTTGCACACACCTATGCTCGGTGAGAGGCGCTGGTCAGATTTGAAAAGGATTCCCTTCCTTCACCGTTAAGCGTCTCCACCGGCATCTGCCCAGCTCCCAGCACCGTGCCGGCACAGGGCAGGTGCCCAGGAAATGCTGGATGAATAATCCCCCCACCCCTCACCACCTGGGACCCCAGCAGGGCTTCGGTCCTCAGGCCTAGAGGCCCAGCTGCACAGCCAAACCCCCAGCCCAGTTCAGCCTCCGCTGAAGCCAGCACCTCCCCGCCAAGAAAGGGCCCGGTCGAGGATGGCACCTGCACTCCCTATGGCCCTGTGTGGCCTGGACAGCACATCGTCCCCAACCTGGAACAAGGAGCTGAACTAAGAGCGTGCAGGTCGAGGCCAAGGCCCCATGCCCGAGACTCCAGTGACAGGCGCAGGGCTCGGAGCCAGGCCAGTCAGGACTCTGGGCTGCAAGTGACAAAAACTCAAACTAAAACGGCATAAGGCAGGGGGGAGAATGCACTGGCTCAGGGACACAAAGTCTGCGGGGTACCTGCCCCTCAGTTTTGCTGTGAACCTAAAACTGTCTTTAGGGGGAAAGTCTTAATTTTTTAAGTACATAGGTAACAGCTTCAGGTGAAGCTTGATCCAGGGGCTGCCCAGGATGACTTTGTCACTTGAGCCCCTCTTGGCTTTGTATACGCTGAGATGGCCTTGTCCTTCAGTTTCCTCCTTTGTGGCCACAAAGGGACCACAGCCCCCAGGCTCACGTGCTGACTCAACCAAGTCCAGTGGCAGGGACAGCATGTTGGTTTCCCAGAAATCCCAGCAAATGCCTCCTCGGTGATCACTGGCTCCGACTGGGTAAAGTGCCCATCACTGAACCGATCACTGTCCAGGGGAGGGATGAACTGATCCAACGAGGGCCTCCCAACGTAGGGAAGAATGGACAGGAACTCCAAGTGCTGCTCTCGGGAGGCAGCAGGGTGTGCCGGCCTCCCTTACAGGCCTCGATCCTGGAACGTGGGCGGCAAACAGGTGCTGAGTGGAGGGAGGGCCTGGGCAGATCCCCCAGACCCTCGGCTCTGAAAGGCAGGAGGTCATGCATCCCACACGCACCCCAAATTTACTCCGTCTGCCTCTGCACCCCCTGTGCACAGCATCCCCTCTGACGAAGCTCTTCTAAGTCAGTTTACCATGTGTCTTCCTCATGTGCTGACTACACGCCACATCCAGCCCCGTTTCTGTACCTGCGCCGAGTCCCAGCCGTGCCGCACCCCGCACCCCACACCCCTGGGGGGTCTGCAGCCCTGACAGACGCTGACGGCGGCACCTTGGGCCGCGTCGCTCAGGAGAGAGAGCCAGGATTTGAGCTGGAAGAGCTGGCTCTGTCCCCGTGCGCTGCCTCCTCCCAGGGCCTCAGTCCTCCCCTCACTGATGAACTTAGGGAGACCGGGGCTCGGGAAGACGTCCTTCGGGGGTTCTGTAGGGAGCGAGTGGAGTGGGAGGGGCAGGTGTGCTCCAGTGCCTGATGTGGGGAAGGGTGGGCGCCACATCCAGGCTCGGGGAGATGTGTGATCAGCGGGCCATGCCTGCCCTGGGTGGAGGCTCGGCAGTGCGTGGCCGGCAATTCCCATGTGAGCTGCTCTGTTCCAGGCACCTATGTGATGACCGTCACGGCCAATGACGCGGACGACAGCACCACGGCCAACGGGATGGTGCGGTACCGGATCGTGACCCAGACCCCCCAGAGCCCGTCCCAGAACATGTTCACCATCAACAGTGAGACCGGGGACATCGTGACGGTGGCGGCTGGCCTGGACCGAGAGGTGAGGCGGGCGCCCGGGGCTGGGGGGGGCACGGCCACCCCCATAGCCTGTTCTCACACCTTTGGGAGAGCAGCGTGGCGTGAGCAGAGCCTGTGCCTGAATGTGCACGTGTGCACATGCACACACACGCTCTCACACACGCACACACACATCCTTCTCCGTGGACAGCTTTGGAAGCTTCGCTCCCAGGAAACTCCTGTCCGAGGTCCAGGGTCAAGGCTGAGCTCTGGCAGGGGGACCCCTGAACAGGAGCAAATCCCCTGCGTGCTCCTTCCTCATTTACCAAATGGGGACAGAACTGCTGCGTGAGGCACAGGGGGTGTGGAGCTGGTCCCCCAGGGCCGGGCTAGGGGACAGAACCTAAGTGGGCGTGCTGCGGCGGGTCACGTGTGTGCAGTGCTTCGCCCGTGTAGTCAGTAAATGGTGTGCACAAGTCGTTGTGAGCAGGTAAGATTGGGTTGACCATGGAGAAATCAGGGGAGGCTTCTCAGAGAAGGTGGCTTTGCTCTGAGCCTTGGGAGCTGACAGAATCAACCATATTTTCTCCTCTTTGGGACCAAGATCCGCTTTTCCTGACCCCTGCTCATCACACACCTGACTTGTTTCAAGCAGTCACAGATACCACCCAGCGGGCTCCTCCTTTGTACCGAGAACCTTCGCTGAGCACCTACTGGGTGCTAGGAGCTGCCGAGGGGACTGGGGAGACAGCCGCGAGTGGGGTCCCTGCTCACGTGGGGCTCCCTTTGCAGGAGGGACAAACAGGCAAGGCAGAATCCTCAACAAGACACGCACGTTCAGGAAGCGGCGTGGCTCAGAACGAGTGGCGTGGGCGCCGTCCCAGAGCGCTGGGGGTGGGGGCGGGGGCACTCAGGGCGCCCCCCGGCCCTGTCTCTGGGAAGGACACTGTAGGAGGGTCCCAGGGCTGTCACAGCAAAGGGCCAGAGCTGGAGGCCTGAGGACAAGTGTGTCGTCTCACAGCCCTGGAGGCCTCC